AGGACAAGGACGGTGGGGATGGGTTAGGGAACTTTCGCCCTTTAACGATGTTAAATACGGACTTAAAGATTTTGGCGAAGATCTTAGCCAACCGTCTGCAGCTTGTCCTGTCTCGTCTGATTGGCCCCGAACAGACTTGTGCTGTGAAGGGCAGGACTATTCAGGATAACCTTCACATGGTACGCTTGATCTTAGAACAAGTCGACAGTGAAGCCGCGCTGATCAATTTGGATCAGTCCAAGGCCTTCGATAGGGTTGACCATCGATTTCTGGAGGCTGTCCTTTCGGCGGCCGGTTTCGGAGCCGACTTTCGCTCCTGGATCCGACTCTTGTATGCGACCCCCGGTGCGCTGGTGGAAGTGAATGGGGTAAGATCGAAGCCTTTCGTATTGTCTCGCTCCATTCGTCAAGGTTGTCCGCTCTCGCCTATGCTTTACGTTCTTGCGTTGGAACCTTTCCTTCGCAAGTTAAAGGCGAATCCGGTCCTACGCGGAATTTCGCTGCCTGGTGCTTCCACCTCGGCCAGGTATTCAGCCTATGCTGACGACGTTTCGGTTCTTGTGTCGAGCAGAGCCGAGATTAACGAAGTCAGCAAGGAGATCAGTGGGTATGAGATGGTGACAGGGGCCAAGATCAACCGCGATAAGTCTGTGGGCTTGCGGTTGGGTGCGTGGAAGGGAGTTTCTCTTCCCGGACCTTTCCTCTGGACGGATGGGCCGATCAAGATACTCGGCGTCTGGTTCGGTCCTGATCTCCAGTTGGAAATGAATTGGTCGGAGGTACAAGGGAAGGCCGAGGTCGCGGTTAATCTGTGGTCTCGGAGGAGACTTTCCCTGAAGGGAAGGGCGGAAGTATGTGGTTCACATATATCCAATTCTCCTGTACCGACTCTCTGTGCTTCCACTCCCGTATGCCCGACTAATGTCATTAGTCAAGGTCTTGTTCTCTTTCTTGTGGAGAGGCAAGGCCCATATGGTATCTCGCGAGGTCTGTTGCCTTCATCCCTCGGAGGGCGGTCTGGGTATGCCTAGCATTGAGATTCGTCAATATATGCTTCGCATCACCTTTCTAGACCGAATGTGTCGCGGGTCGGATGCGGAGGGTGCCTTTTGGAAAGAAGACGTCCAGAAACATTTCCCGTCCCTGAGAAGTGTGCACTCGTGCGAAGAGGAGGCCAGCCGTACACCACGTGCCGAGTGCTCCTTCTATCGTGAATGTCGTCGCGCTCTGAAGCTCCTCTTGCGGGCTACGGATGGCCTCTCCAACGCCCAGGCGTTGTCTCGTAAGGCATTGTATCAAGTATTAGTTAGGGGGCCGCACAAGATGATCTAATTGGCGAGCTCGGTCTTACGAAGCAGGAGGCTCGCTCGATATGGCCTTGGGCGCCTGGGTTGAAATGCCTCAATAACGATGAGGCATCACTCACCTGGCTGGTGATTCGTGAAGCCCTCTGGGTCGGCAAGAGACTCTGTTCAGCAGGCTTGGAGAAATATCCAAACTGTCGTCGCTGTACTGGGGAAGTCGAGACCATTGGTCACGCCTTTTTTCGGTGCAAGGCGGTAGTGCCGTTGTGCAAGTTTGTTGAAGGCCTCATGGTTCGCATGTTGCAGGGAAAGTTTTTTGTCCTTGAAGCTAGCTCTGTTTGTAGCAATGTGGTGCCGCAATTGACGAAGGCTGAACACTATGTGTTCTGTTGCTTACTAGGGGTTATGAGAGTCGTGATTTGGACGACGCGTCAGAAGGGATTCCATGAGGGCGAGAAGTTCACCTCTTCCCAACTGATCTTGTACTTTAAGCATCAGCTTAAAGTCAAGATTAGGACGGAAAGGCGGCGGCTCACCTCATCAGAATTCAGCAAAAGGTGGGTGAATCTTGCGCGTTTGTGCCGTGTAAAAGGGGCTGACTTGGAGTGGCATTTTGATGTCGGTTAGGCATCAGGATATTGTTTTCCTGGGTTGAACATGGGCAACCCATCCCGAATTTAGGTTAGAGTAGGATTTTGTATTTTTTCGTTTAGTTTTTTTTTTTCCTGTTCTGATAAACTTAGCTAGGGTGTGTTTGCTTATTGGTCCCCTTTTATTTCTGTCCCCATTTCTTTTTTTTTCTTCCTTTAGTTTAACTCCCCGTCCCCGTCCCTCGTTTAGGTGGTCAGTGATGTCAGTTCTCTGGTGGATGCGGGGCGCCTTTCGTTTCGTGCGTGTGCTTTCGTATTTGTTGTTGTGTATGGATGAGTGAGTGCTTGATGGTTTGAATGTGTCTTTATTTTTATAGTCTCGCATCGATTTCGTCCGGTTAACTGATATTTCTGCCACATTCATAGTTTGTGGGGGTTTTTAATACTAACACTAATTTTGTTTAGTTTCTTGTAAATATATTTTGACATATTGTATATACACATTGGGGATTTTTTAAAAAATTGTTGTTTTTTATCCCCCCCCCCCACAGACAATATTTGTACATAAGGGGTGTATTTAGGTTTTTCATTGAGTCAAAGAGGCATTTTGGTGGATGTAGTAAGAAAGGTATGGATAAATGTGTTGTTTTGGTGATAGGAATATTGTTTAGTATGATAGGGTCAGTGATTGTGGCTAGCTAAGTTTTATTTTTAAGACAAGTGATGACCGTCCTTTTCCCCAGCCCCCTTTTCGGCCTTGTGCCACATTTGTACATAGTACAATAAATAATGAGAATTTACGACGACCAAATTTGCTAAACGACTTCACGACGCTTGAATCATTACTGCAGCGAAGTACAAAGTTGGAACCTAAAGTTCTTTAACATGAAATAACTTCACTGAAAATCAAGCTACAATTTCAACGAAACATCTCACTCACCAACTTGTAAAATTTTATATTATTCAATTACGTTATTAAATCAGACGAAACTTTAAGTACAAACTATTACGAACAATACATTTAAAACTACGAGCAACGAAAACAAACGGAACATTCACTTCCCCAACTTCTTTAAAGCTAAAAGTTTATTAACATATTTTCAGCTTTATAAGATTCTCTTTCAGTGAACATTTTGAACTACAAGTTAATTCAGTTTTTGTGAGCTCGGATAAAAAAATGTTTTTTTATTAGTAAAAACATTAGCCCAGTCAAAGGGAAGTAACTCTTATTATTGTTATTGTAAAAAAACTTGTCATTTATAAATATAAATATTGTTCCTGATTAAGAAAAGTTATTTTCTTGTATTTCTTCTCTTGTTTGCTTTTTATTTTCTTGCACATTCGTAAAGTAAAAAAAAAATGTGTGGGTTGATTTATTCCGTCAATACCACTACATAAATAGTGACCCCGAATACGAGTGTGCATGGAAAAGTATTGAGCGATATTTTATAAGAGACGTACTCAAATTTCCATTGGCAACTTTGATTTTTGTACCGTCGTTTAAAAATTTGAATCACCACTTCACCAACTGGTATCCTAATTCCGCGTCGAAGAAATATTAACATTATGGCTGATCAAACTGATGCACACACAGAAACCGCAATAACTGTTAATTTGCCAGCTTACAACAATGTCAATGTTCAAGTTTGGTTCGTACAGTTAACTGCTATATTCAACGCCAAGAGGATAACTTCCCAAACTTCCCGATATGCCTACGTTGTGGAGAAGCTACCGGCGGAGGATGCCATCTGATAAGCGATTGAAAAGAAGTTTCCATAGAACTGGTCTCCTGGATGATATGCCATCTGATAAACCTTATGATACCAATGTCTAAAAAGAAGCTATAAACTCCATAGAACTGGTCAATCTGAGGAACAAAAATAGCTGATAACCAGACCTCCTTTATAACATGAGGTTGGGACAAAGTAAACCGTCACATGTTGGGGACGTCGTGGTTGTTTAACGTATCAGAAGGATTTTTTTTATCTGCGTAAAATGTCCCAAACAAATATACGGTACTATTTCAAACAAGGAAAAAAAAACATATATAGATCAAAACAATAAAGCAAAACAACAATGTCTGACAAATTGTGTTAAATGTTTGACATGTTTGCTATTTTCTTTGTTTGGATCAAATATTTCAAAGTTTTTTTGAACACCATCCAAATTTTGGCTTTTCGTATTTCCCAGACGAAATTGAAATATACAAAAACTAGCTTCGAAATAGCTGATAAAATAGCCATAACCAGCCAGCCTTTGCTAGACCTGTGTATGCTGCGACCCAGAGACAGCCAGTAGCATCGGTGGTTGACGCAGACGACATGCGTAAACTCAGTGACAGGTTAGCACAACTGTCAATTTTGGTTTCAAAAGGATATTCAGAAGTCTATGCAAAACGATTGACAATGAAATGCAATTTCACCATAATCGAACTCCTCCTGAATTACGACGACGTAGACACAGATCGTTGTCACGAAATAGGGAAATTCACTAATCAGGACAACGTATGTTGGTATCATGCTAACTTTGGCCACCAGGCACATAAATGCCGTAAACCTTGCAGGTTTAGCGCGAATTTATTTGGCAGAAGATCGACACAGCAAGCGGGAAACGACGTTCCCGGCAGCAAGTGAAGACGGCGTTCGCTACCGGGGAAAAAATATTAACCGTCTTTTTTTATGTTAAGGACGCCAATTCTGGTTACCTATTCTTGGTTGACACGGGCGCACAGGTTAGTGTGATTCCGCCTACAACAAACATGGCGACCAAAGCTACGTCATACAACCTCCAAGCTGCCAACGGTTCTCGAATAGAAACCTATGGTGAAAAATCACTTACATTAAACTTGGGATTACGTAGATCGTTCACTTGGGTATTTACCATCGCGCAAGTAAAGTCACCTATTCTAGGAGCTGATTTCCTAGCCCATTTTAAACTCAACGTGAACATGTCTTCCCGATCCTTAGAAGATAAATATACCGATATTTCAATTAAGGGAATTACTTCAAAATTGACAACGGCAGGTATCAGTACAGCCCTACCTACTGCCAACGGTCTTCAACATTTATTACGGAAATATCCAGAAATTCTGACACCGTTCAACTATATGGAACCAATCTTACACAATGCGGAACACAGGATACAGACGACTGGTCTTCCCGTGCATTCATCTCCGCGGCGTTTACATCCCGATAAATATAAAAATGCTAAGATTGAGTTTCAGCATCTGTTGGACTTAGGGATAATCCGTCCATCATCCAGCCCATACGCTTCTCCTTTGCATATGGTGTCGAAATCGGAAGCTGGAGCTTGGAGACCATGCGGTGATTTTCGGAGACTTAATGCTCAAACAGTCCCGGACAAATATCCGATCCCGCATCTACAAGATTTTGCAATCACGTTACAAGGAGCGTCAATTTTTACGAAGTTGGACTTGAGAAAGGCTTTTCATCAAATCCCTGTGGCAAAAGACGACATCCACAAAACTGCTGTGACTACACCGTTCGGTTTATTCGAGTTTACTAGAATGCCCTTCGGTCTAAGAAATGCAGCGCAGTCCTTCCAGCGACTTATAGACGAAGTACTGCGTGGCTTGCATTTCACATTCGCCTATATTGACGATGTTCTGATTGCGAGTAGGAACATCGAAGAACACACCGATCATGTGGAACAGGTTTTCCGGCGATTGAAGCACTTCGGACTTAAAATTAATCCTACTAAGTATTTGCTGTACCGAAGCTGATCTTTCTTGGTCATGAAATAGATGGGAAAGGCATTACACCCGTCTCTCAAAAGGTCGAAGCTATTCAAAACTTCCCACAACCAACTACACTGCGACAGCTACGTAGATTTCTCGGTTTAGTAAAATATTACAGACAATTCATACCTCATTGTTCGCAAGTGCTGATTCCGTTGACAAACCTGTTATAAAATCAAAAAAAGAAGAACAGCAAGATTATTCTGACTGACGATGCACTTTCAGCATTTAATAATGCCAAGGAAGCCCTAGCTAATTATACCAAATTATCTTACGTTTCGGATAGTGAAGAAGCGACACTTTCACTTACTACTGACGCATCTGCTGATAGTGTAGGAGCCGTATTACACCAGGAGAGTGATAACGTGAAGAAACCACTTTCATTCTTTTCCGTGAAATTAAATTCAGCACAACGCAAATATAGTGCTTTTTCACGTGAACTACTTGCTATATATCTATCTGTTCGTCATTTCCGACATCTGTTAGAGGGCAGGAATTTTATAATTTTCACTGACCATAAACCTTTAGTGTATGCCTTGCACTCTAAAACAGATAAATATAACCCTCGTGACATAAGACAGCTGGACTACATCGCACAGTTTACGTCCGATATTCGTCACATTAACGGGAACGACAACATCGTTGCTGACACCCTTTCTAGAGCTACAATGAATTCCGTCAAGTTGCAACCATTAGATTTTGAATGCTTAGCCAGAGAACAGCAGAGGGATGCCACCCTAGAAAAAGTGAAAAGTGACACGTCACTGCGCATTGAGCAACGACCAATTCCTTTCAGTGCGGCATACTTGTTTTGTGACGTTAGCACTAAACACCCTAGACCCTACGTGCCCCCTATTATGCGCAGACAAATTTTCGACCATTTTCATTCTATGTCTCATCCCGGCCGTAAAGCGTCAACGAAACTTATTTCTGAACGATTTGTCTGGCCAAACATGTCTGCAGACATAAAACACTGGACGCAGACATGTATTAAATGCCAGAAGTCGAAAGTTCAACAACACACCAGATCTCCTCCTGGTCACTTTTCTGCACCGGATGGTCGATTTAAACATATACACGTCGACCTCGTCGGTCCCTTAATGGAAGTAGACGGATACGAATACTTGTTGACAATAGTGGACCGTTTCACACGTTGGCCAGTGGTGGTACCCCTGCGATCAACCACCGCCAGTGTTATCGCACAAACAATCTTACGTGAGTGGATAGCCACATTTGGATGCCCCTCTGTCATTACTACAGATCGTGGACCCCAATTCCAGTCTACCCTCTTCGCTGAATTTACTAACCTGTTGGGTACTAAACATATAACAACTACAGCTTACCATCCGTGCGCAAACGGTTTGGTAGAAAGGTTTCACAGGCAACTAAAAGCAGCACTTACAGCTAGCGAAGACACACGATCGTGGATTGAGAGATTACCACTAGTAATGCTAGCACTGCGTAGTGTTGTCAAGGAAGATTTAAAATGCACCACAGCTGAGCTTGTTTTTGGGAGCCCACTTACACTCCCCGGTCAAATGATGGAAAAAGATGTGTCGACAAGACCATCTACATACTTCATTCAGGACTTGAAAGAACGCATGTCTAACCTCGTATTTACCCCAAGGCGCATTTCAGATAGAGCAATTTTCGTACCGAAAACTTTGGAAAACTGTGAGTTTGTATTTCTACGCAGAGATGCAGTTAAAAAACCTCTCACACCGACATATTCCGGTCCTTTCCAAGTTATTTCCCGTGCACCGAAATATTTTACCATCTTAATCAATAATAAGACAAACACTGTCAGCATTGACAGGTTGAAACCTGCTTTCATTGATGCCGATAAGCATTCTTCGACCTCGTTTGATCAAAATTCTTCCGCCCAGCAGAAGGATATTCAACCTGAAACTCCTCCGACAAAAACTACAACTAGAGCAGGCAGACATGTTCATTGGCCTACAAAATTTGCGAAGTATCATACATATTGAAATTTTTTTTTTCTTTTCAAACTTTCAATTTGGGGGTGGAGTATTTTAGCTGTCCGCTACCACTTTTTCACAAATGTCGATTTTTGTGCAAAGAGCGGATCACATCTTCATGAATGTTTCTGAAAACCTAAACTTCTCATTGGATAATAAATATTAAATTTATCTTTACGTGTATTGTTCTCAATAAGCGACACAAAACATATCAGGCTCTAGACTGAGTTTTGTAAGGCGCTTTCTGAGTGGTTAACAGATGTTAAAAAAACAATTTACCTGCTCACCACTACGTCCGAACAACGTCAACCTAGTTTTTGACCTGACGAAAAAACAATGCCTTCGGAGCCTGTCACGTGGTTAAAAAAACATATAAATTGAAGGTACGAGCGAACCCAGTCAGTGAGAATTTACGACGACCTTTGTTGGACTGTTTTCTGACTCCCGTTTGTTCCTCATATTGATTGCTTGTTGAACGTTTTTTTGTTAAGTTTGTCTTTTATTATTTTATTTGATTTGTGTTCTTACGAATTTTTTTTGAAAAGATTTTGATTTTTATTCTTTTCCTTTTTTTTTACCCTCCTCTTTTTTTAAAAAAAAAAAAAAAAAGAAAAAAAATTATCTACGTTAATTTTTGTTTATTCTTTTTATTTTAAATTTCCTTTCTGTCTTTTTCATTTTCTCTTATTTCTCCTTTAATTATATCTCCGTTTTTTTTTTTTTTTCTGTAACCCCTGTCTGTGCTTCGTTGTTGCGTTGACGTACCGTTAATAATTCTTTTTTTTTCCTTTTTATACCTTTTAAGTTTTTCCTGTTTTTTTCTTTGCCATTTTTTATTGTATATTTGTCTAATTTTTTAAACCTTTATTTACTGCCTATTTGTACATATATTTGTCCATTTATTTTGTTCTAACGTTTTTTCTATTTATTTTCTATTGTTTATTTGTTTTGGTGTCAGCCATCTTGTTAAATTGTAGCTAGCTCTGTTTATTTTGTATATTTTCGTATTTTCTTTGTTTTTCCTTTTTGTCTAAGCATTTTTTTGCGTTTTCTTTTTTTTTTTTATTGTTTCGCCGTTAGGCGAACCTTTTTGTTTTATAATATTTTACGTGTTTTTTTTTTTGATTGTTTGTCTCGCTTCCGGGTGAGATTTGTGTTTTTTTTTTTTTTTTTTTTTTTTTCCCTCCCCTATAAGGTTTCTTTCTCCCTCCCCTTCCCTGTTAATACAAAAAAATGGAAAAAAAGGAAAAAAAAACTCCTTCCTTTTTAGTCATAAAAAAAACACAACTTAGCAGACTACAGAAAGTCTATAAGAAGACACTTATTTAACCCCCCAAAGAAAGACCCTCCAGATAAAGACAACATCAATGAATACCCAGCCCTAGAGAAATTTCCCCTAGCGAGGATGACATCGCTGGGAAAAAAAGATTCACTTTCTTCAAGTATGGAGGCCTGCAATGGCAATAAGAAAAATGAAAAAAGTCAAAAAAGTACGGAGGCCAATAATAGCCAAAAAACCCAAATTGACTCGAAAGCCAAGAATGGCTCTCAAGAGAAGACTGAGGCCGGGGAATTGCCCTCTTGTTGGAAGTCCCCCCCCGAGTTGTATTATCAATGTAGCGGATTTCTTGGAGCGAGCTAAGAGCTACACTCACCTTGTCATAGAAGGTGGACTCTTAGAAGACGCCCAGGAACTAAGAAAAATTGAAACACGAATAGTGTCAGTTTTTGTCGTGGACAAGCGTACGCGCAGAATTTGTCGCTCGACAAAAGACACAGTGATAAAATCACTGGAGTCCTTGGGGTTCAAGCCCCTCAGAGTTGTGAAAGGAGCTGGCTTTCTCATGTGGGACGTATTGTTACCCACGCCGGAAGATTTCGTGGCAGCGTCGAGCAGGGACTTGATCACAAAAGATCTGATCCTGCGGACCGAGTACTTAGGCCAAAGAAGGACCAGAATTTCAATATACGAGGTCCCTCCTCAGGTTCTCGGGGAACATCTCGCGGCCTACTTGTCTCAATTCGGTGAAATACTGACCGCATCTTGCGATAGCCTGAGCGGGGGGTGGAGTTTCGACATTCGTTTAGATCAAAAAGCCTTCTTCTCCATCCCCAACTGTCTGGTAGTAGGGAAATTGAAATTGCCGGTCATTGTGACCGGCCGGAAATTGGTATGCTGGAAGTGTGCAAAGACTGGTCACCTTTCCTCTTCCTGCCGAGAGAAGAAGGCCTCTGGAATTCAATCTCCCGTTGACCAGAATCCCCCTCTGACCGAGTCTTTACCTACCGCCTCGCCTGTAATGGGCATGCCAGCTTCTGGGACCGGTAGGGAAAATCCTCCGGTTGGTCAAAAAGACCACATTCTCCAAAGAGCCTTCGCCCACTGCTAGTGCAGTTGTGGAGAAGGGGAGGGGAATGGCTGGTTGCTGGTAAGGCCAGAGGAAGCGCCAGACAGCGGGTCCTCAGTCCCCTGAAGCCCCAAGGACGAAAGGCACTAACAGCCCCACTCCCTCTGGCAACATTAAGGGCGATACTCCGGCCTCCGAAATGTCTTTCAAGGACAAGCAAAAAAGTATGACCCAGGATTTCTGAAAACCGAAAAAATTAAGGAGCTAAAAAAAGAAATTAGATAATCAGCAATCCCAAAATTCAACTCCTTCCGCGTCTTCTAGCCAGTCCATCCCTCTCTTAAGAAACGACCCTCTCCCCAGATAACTCCATCCAATTCGCGTCCCCTCAGTCGAGATCCTAGCCCCTACAGACACAGATCCTTCTACACCCCCCTTAACACACCTACCCCTTCCCCTGTTAAACAAAACCCCTCCCTAGCACCTCCTACATACTCCCAGTCATTCCCCGCTTAAAATGCCACCCCTGCTTCCAAGCGACAGAAGAAGCC